GGTGATACTGTTCATCATAAAAAATTTCGGGAACAGTTTACGATCGATTATCGTTTCTCATAAGGGAACTTTTATAGGAAAGAAATTTTTGCTGTAAACCGCGTGAAACTTCCTTTTTCAAGATTACACTTTGGGCAGAGCTATCTATTTTTGTATAAACTTTACTCATTCAGTTAGATCAACAATTTTATTTAACTTTTTAATATAATAAATGTGTAATAAAATAATATTGTATCTTTATGAATGACACTGCTGAAGCAAGAGACAGAAGCCGTTAATTTTTTGCGAAATTGGGTATCATATAAGTAATCTTCAAATACAAGTTTAAAATAAAACAAAGATTTGGAAATAAAGAATAATTTCTTGTTAGATGACAATACATTAGATTAAAAATATACATTATAAAATCAGGACTTCGGAAAGAATAAAATTACACCAAAAATAACAAATAATTCATTATTTGAATAAATATGTATTATATTTGGATTAAATAGTGTTCCTTACTTTTGGAATAACTGGGTTTCTTTCCAAAATTTTATTCAAAAATTATTGAATATGTTTCTATTTGAGTAAATAATTATTTGTTATTATAAAGTCTTGTTTGTATTTAAAGTGTATTGAAAATTATTAGAGTAATGCTCAATATTGTTGAAAATGGATAAGAATTTTCTCGTCATTAAAGTTATATTTGAACTTCAATTTTTAATCTATTTTATACATAGTTACTTCGTTTATTTTGTACAAAGTTACACTTACAAGTATAACACTTACTATTGTTATTGTAATAGTTATACATACTTTTTTATTTTATTTATAGCTGTACTTATTCATTTACTTATAGCTATACTTATTTAGAAATTGTAATCAATGTGCAAGAAGCATTTTCCGATGAAACTGGGCTTACACAAAAATGAAATTAGGACACAGTGATTTGCAGTATAAATAAAATTTAACAAAAGAAGAAAAATAGTTCTTAGAAAAATAGGTCTTCAAAAATGGTTTTTGAAGAAGAATATCAATAATCAGTTTTATTTTTTGTAATGATAGGTATATTAAAAAGACTGTTGTTTAAATTAGAATATTAGATATGATGAAGTCCATTAATTAAGAGTAATTCATATAGTCAATTAATTTTTGAAATCTGGCTCGTTGAATAAAGTGTACATATCACAAAGCTCTTTGAAAAATTATATTCTTTGCGTGTTTTTCGAAACGGAGAATATGCCACCCATCTGGTGAACCAACTCGACAGTGCGACACAAAGTTGTCCATGTGAAAATGTATCTGATCTAACATCTAAACCGGTGAAGAGGAACGTTTGACCTTCTTTATCGACATTGCAAACGATAGTTACAGTGGAAATTGTAACCTCTTCAGAGAAATCGAAGTATCTCACAAAATGAGTAGAATTATAAGGATAACTGCTTCTTTTCTTGTACATCTTCAATTTTAGTCACCACAAACCTGTCTTGAAACCATCTACAGTATCAGATCTATGTGAAATTTCATGATAAAATATTCAATAGTTTCTAATGACATGACATACATAAAATTGAACTCAGATTTGTAAGGTAAAGCTAAATTTTGCTATTATATATTGATTAATTTAAACGCTCAAAATAAGCAGAAATTTTATTATTATCAAAATTCCCATTCATTTCTTATTTATTAAGACTCGTTTGAGTATCAGAACATTTAGCTTACTAAAGGGCCACAGTACTTGTGTTTATGTATTGTTTTCATAGTATTCTTTGTATTTATTTTTTTTACGTGATATTATCTGTAAGTCTCTAATTTGTAGCATGCTTTCAACCTGGAAAGTGTAAAGTAAGGACAGCGAAGATAGAAAAAGGTATTGTGTGACTGCGAAAGACCAGTCTCAGTTTTAAGCTAGGAGAACCTTTGCTTCAAGCACGTACTTCTTCATCTTCCAGTACATTCTCTTCTCCGTCGTGGCAAATGCTTTCCTCATGGTGAATTTACTTCGCCGCGTTTCCACCTACCGCATAAGACGTAATAAATGGGTAGAACGATAAATTGAGTGGGAGTTATTTCACGTGATAAGGCGAATCTGCCACGTTAACGTGAGTATTGAGTTACCGCGTCGTTATCTTTAAACAGCACCTTCACCTTTTTGTACGTCATGGAATGGTTAATAGCATCTTGTTGCACATCGAAATGAACGCATGGTTGCATTCATAAAAATGTGTACAAAATATTTTCCTTTTTATGTCTGACTCAATGTCAATTGGAGATAATAGATTTGCTGTTTTAATATTGCGGTTGTGATGATTATCGGTATTGCTATTTGCAAATGTCGATAATATTGGGATGCTGTCAATACCTCCACGTATCACATCATTAATATACTTCCAAACTTCGAATATTCACATCTATAAGTGCACAAATGTTCAAATTTGAATGCTTCTCAATTTCTTAGGTTTATATGCTTCGAATTCCTAATTTCTTAAACTTCCATTTCCTCTTTCCACATTTCAAGTTTACAAATTTCTGAATGCCAAATTTCTAAATTTTTACATTTTTGAATTTCAAAATTTCCAAATCTCTAAATTTCCAAATGTCTAAATTTCCAAATTTCAAAATTTCAAAATTTCAAAATTTCAAAATTTCAAAATTTCAAAATTTCAAAATGTCTAAATTTCTGAATTTCTAAATTTCTAAATTTCTAAATTTCTAAATTCGTAAATTCCTAAATTTCTAAATTTCCATGTGTCTCAATTTCTGAATTTCTAAATTTCTAAATTCCTAAATTCCTAAATTCCTAAATTCCTAAATTTCAAAATTTCAAAATTTCAAAATTTTCAAATGTATAAATTTCGAAATTTTTAAACTTTGGAATTTCAAAATTCCTAAATTTCTAAATTTCTAAATTTCTAAATTTCTAAATTTCTAAATTTCTAAATTTCTAAATTTCTAAATTTCTAAATTTCTAAATTTCTAAATTTCTAAATTTCTAAATTTCTAAATTTCTAAATTTCTAAATTTCTAAATTTCTAAATTTCTAAATTTCTAAATTTCTAAATTTCTAAATTTCTAAATTTCTAAATTTCTAAATTTTGAAACTCGTAATTTTTTCCGATTACCCAACCTTACATATAATAGCTATTATCAGCATTATAATAATTACTAATATACTTCATAATTATAATAATAACAAATAAAGAGAAATGTACTGGAATATTATTTGTAGTTTGATTGTATTTTATAACATTTTTAACATTAATTGTGTATTGAATATTATTTGTAGCTTGGCTGTAATATCATTCCACAACCAAAACCTCTCACTATATACATATATTGTACAATTACATGTATACTACAACAATATGTTAATTGCAGTAAGAACATACACTATATACATATTTTTAGTGATATCGTACGTAATGAAAACAAAAACATGTTTAATAATGCTGTGTAAATTGGTACAAAAATTAAACGTTTCACTTTTTGTGTTGTGCACATACGTATAATGACGAATTTAATGATTTTCCCTGAGAAATATGGTAACGATACGCTTGAATTATTAGAAATAACGAAGGTACTTTGTATACTTGGTTACCTGTTTTCAAGCACAGAGACAACCAGAATCCTATTGATTTATTTTATATCATTTTGTAACGTTCGTATGTAAAAACAAAACAATATTTACGTTAAGTCGTAGATTCACTTTAATAATAATATTATGGGCAAGACGAATGAGATATCCATTATTTATATAAGTAGATTGACAAATAAATGTAGGGACATTTTTAAAAATAAAATGTATAATTTCTTTCATAAATCTCTATATATTATTTTTTGCTATTTAAAATAAAGGATTTCGTATAATAATAATTGTGTATTATATACAATTTAAGGATCAGTAAGTTATTCATGTCGTTAAATTGGAATAAAAATTCAAGCTTCATGTTATACAAATTTATTACTCAGACATATAATTTATTTATATGTCTAATTTATAATAATATAATAATTGTCATAGCTACACATGTAAACCATCCGTCTGCCAAAGTGGTAAAATAAAAATGTTACTTCTTTCAGTATTTTACTAATCAAAATATTTTGTTATTGAAATTTAAAAAATCTTGTGTTTTTATTCTGAAAAAAGTATAGATAATTCGTTGTGTAAACTATTGGTGATAAAACGATACACGAATTAACATTTGCATTTGTCTCCATCTAACGGAATTAATCACCATTAACATTTCTTCTTACGTTCGTATGTTTCGATTCAATTTTGTTTCTTCGCTTTTCCTTACGTAAATTAAATTGTTCATTTTGTAATCGTTTTTAAATAAATATTTGTTCATTCTGTATATAATTTATTACGTCACTTTTGCGACCACGGATCCCCTCACCTTCAATATAAACAACTTAATTTTTTTAACAATATGTGTTATTATTTGTAAGAATAAATATGAATAAATATGGATATAGATAAACGAATATTGTTAAACATAAATTTTATGAATGAATTTATGAATATGGGTAAATGATTAAATAATTGGATATTTGTAAATATGAATTTAATGAACAAATCTATTAATAAAAGTAAACGATGTGATAAAGGAGTATTGTTAAATATGAATTTATGATTGAAGCAGTGAATAACAGTAAATAATTAGATGAATGAATATTACTAAATATGAATTTAATGAATGAATCTGCATAGACTAGTGAATGAACAGATAAATGAATATTGTATTTGATACGAAGTTATTATCTGAGAGAGTTCGTCTGGTTTTCAGATCAGCACTGTTGCGTGTTAGAAAGTATTAAATAGTATCAAATTGTAGTGAAAGAGTACACATACAGTTACTCACAAAATTGAGCGTACAGTTACGTTAGCAATGAAAATTGACGGGAAAATCAATACAAACACTTATATTTAACAGTAAATACATAATATATATTTTATTCATATATTGTAACAAATAATTCGTAAATGAATTTCTAAGTAAAATAAGTAATATGTTTATTTTTAACAAAAAATGTAAAAATATGCTTGTTTTCATGACACAAAATTGAGCGTACACATAAAAATTTTTAAGTTATACAGATCTGTATTGAACGAAGGTTGGTGCATTTGAATATGAAGTCCGTGAAATGTGTTTTCTACCTTCATTTATTAAATAAACAATAACAAAACACAATCCATTATTCGTAAACCAGCAATGGAGCAGCAAAGAGTGCAGACTGATATTTCTACACGTAATCTTATTGTTAAGTTATATTTACAAGGTAAATCTTTTCGTGAAGTAGGAAAAATAGTTGGAAGAACACATTCGACAGTTCAAAAAATTATAAACAAATTTCGTTATGAAGGTACAGTAAGAAATAAGCCTGGGCGAGGAAGAAAAAGAATATTAACAACAGCCGATGTGAGATCGATTTGTCGACAAATTAAAATAGATCCACAAACAAATATTAGAAATTTAACATCAGAAGTTTCTTCACGCATAAAAACAAAAATTTCAGTAGAAACAATCCGTAGAACATTAAGAAAAGAAGGGTATAACGGCCGAATTGCCGTTGGCTTGGAAAAGCGCTTGGAATTTGCAAAAACGTTTATTAACTATGACGAAAGTTTTTGGGAAAATATTATATTTTCTGATGAAACCAAAATAAATTTATTTGGACGGGACGGAAGGAAACAAATCGTATGGAGAAAAGCAAATACCGAATATGATAAAAAGAATACATGTCCAACCATTAAACACGGCGGAGGATCTGTGATGTTATGGGGGTGTATAGGGTCAAACGGGACCGGAAATGTTGAATTTATTGATGGAAAAATGGACAAAATACAATATTTGAATATTTTAAAAAAAAATTTAAAACCATCAGCAGAAAAATTAAAAATGCCACAACTATATTACTTCCAACAAGACAATGACCCAAAACATTCGTCTCATTTAGTTCAATTATGGTTGTTGTATAATATACCAAAATTATTAAAAACACCTCCGCAATCGCCAGACCTGAATCCAATCGAAAATGTTTGGGGAGAATTGAAATTTAGAATGAGAAACAGAAATTTTCAAAATATAGAAGATTTTAAACAGCAATTAAGAGAAGAGTGGCAAAGTATTCCACCAAATTTCATAAAAAATTTAATTCATTCTATGCCCCGTCGCTTGCAAGCAATAATTAATGCCAAAGGATACGCAACGAAATATTAATTTATATAGATAATGCGATATAAGTATATAAATAATGTTAATTACGTATATGTACGCTCAATTTTGTGTCATGAAAACAAGCATGTTTTTACATTTTTTGTTAAATATAAACAAATTACTTATTTTATTTAGAAACTCAATTACGAATTATTTGTTACAATATATGAATAAAATATATATTATGTATTTACTGTGAAATATATGTGTTTGCATTGATTTTCCCGTCAATTTTTATTGCTAACGTAACTGTACGCTCAATTTTGTGAGTAACTGTATACACTGCGTATCAAAAGTTTAGACGCACTGTATTTTTTAACAAAAACATACACCCTAATGAATCTTTGCTTTATTTTTCTTGTCGTATGTGTAGAAGACCTTGAAAAATTAGTATTATTATCAAAAATATTCATACGTACCAGCAGAGGGATATGTTTTTATCCTAAAGGCGAAAAACGGTCGTATCAAAAGTTTAGACGCAATAAAAAAAAATTATTATTATAACAGAAAAGAAGCAAATATGCATAAGTCATACTTTGTATATCCACCGGAATGCTGTATAGTTGGGAAATTTCTACTTGGCATATTCGCAATTAGGTAAAATTGTAAATTCGTTAGTTCATAAATTTGTAAATTTGTAACTTTGTAACTTTGTAACTTTGTAACTTTATAAATTTATAAATTTATAAATTTATAAATTTGTAAATATGTAAATATGTAAATTTATAAACTTGTAAATCTGTAAACTTGTTACATTCATAAGCCCGTAAAGTAAATTTACCACACTGGAAATGTAAAAAATTGTAAGTTTCAAAACTTAATACATAATTTCAATATTTAAAAACTTGGGAATTTAAAAGACTTGCGAGATTCTCAAATTAAAAAATCTATAAATTTCAAAATTTAGAAATTTGAAGAATTAGACATCTAGACACTCATAAACTTGAATATTCCAAATGCTGAACTTCAACTATATTATAAATCACGAATTAGATTCGTCTAACGCTTTACTTAGTTTCATTCGAACCAGCAATAACACCTATCATTGAATGAGATAAAATAAGACGCCTTTGAACGTAGCAAACAATGCGTTTTGTATTCCTTTGTCAATTCTCTTTCTGACTGGCACCGTATTTCCTTCAGACAGTTCAAATCGTAGTGTAGATGTAGTTTAAGACGGTAAACACTTCACGGTGGTCCTAACTGGTAAAGAGACGTAGTTAATCCGGCCTATTTTGTGCCAGTAGGGTTGTGAAAACAATTTATGGACAGACCAGAAGCGTTTCTCTGCAGTGTTAATAATAACAGGGACAAAGCTATTGATCGCCATAACGTTGCTTTCTGTGTCACCGGAGAAAAGACAGTGTCTTATCTTAACGGAAACAGAAACAGGAAGAACATACCCTATTATGTTCTGGTAAAGAGCAGGTAAATGGTACGTGTGAATAAGGCAACGCATTTACCAATTCTTAAAAATTACATCTTGCTCTCGTTCAATTGGTATTCATTGCAGAGCATTGCATTACGATACTTTTTATCTTCTGTAAGAAGTTTTTGAGTGTGGGGTTTTTTCCATAGAATGACCGTTAATATGGTTTTTTTTCCATCAACGAGCGATCGTCTTTTGTTTAACGACGCTTGGCGTGTACGAAAGGCTTGTGGCTCAATCGTAGCTTCTGCGAGTAACTTCGGCGGAAAGCAGTGCCGTCCGAAGTGTTGTGTTCTTTGTGTGTAGTCTTAAATATATATTGTTAATTTTTTTTGTTAAAATATAACCGTGTTTTTTCTCCTTACCCTCCTATTCTACATAAGTGATAATTATGTTATTGCTTTAATTTTTCTATAATTGAGATAATAATATACAGGGTGTTCGGCTACTGGTGGGCATAATTTTAGGGGGTGGTAGCTGGAGTGATTCTGAACAACTTTTTCCTTTACCAAAATGCTGGTTAAAGCTTAGTTTTTAAATTATTAATGAAAAACACTGACCAATGACAGCGCGTATAGACCGGTCGCGCGACAGCGAGAGCGACAGCTTCGAATATGATGGCTGATCGTCGTCGTGAACAAATGTATCGATACTGTCGGTATAACGTCGATATAACGTCGGTATAAAGTCGGTATAATAGAAAGCTGTTAGATGAAAGTTACATTGAATAATGAATAAAAAAATCTGGATTATTGTTGAATTGTCATTCATTCATGAATAAGAAATAACAAAATTAGTCTCTACTCACGTAATCAAAATAAATCGAATTTATTCAATACGTTTATTCGTTATTCCAAAGAAATAATAGATAAAATATGGAGAATTATTTTCGTTAGATATTGTAATGATGAAAAAGAACAAATTCTCTTTTTTAAAAAATTGAATAACTTTTCTATTCAACAAATAAAAATGTGAATTGAATAATTAACAAATTTAAATGTAGCTCACCCATTAAACCGCAAATAATCACAATAAAAATGCGTCTCTGTCACCAGTACGATCCACCGGTCCTTACTGTTAGTATAAATCAATCACCATGCAGAAACTGTCAAAAAACTCTCAAGAAACTTCATTGTCACCTATCACTTTCATCTTTCATTATTAGTTCGCATTATCACTTTTCTCTCTCATTTTTCACTAATTTGCACTAATTTTCACTGTGAGTCCGACACGTAAATAGGACGAATGAAAACACGTGAACGAATATTCATAAATAATTTAAACTATACTATCTTGAAAGCAAGAAAATGGAATTTTCTATTAAAAACAACGATACATTTTATTTCGACACGTTTCTTTCGACAATAAACGATGACTGTCGATCGACGCCGGAGTCGTTCAACAGATCATCGTTGCATGGCAACCGTTCGCGACGTATGCCTCGCGATCGAGAACAAAATCGCGTTCCGTAGCCAGTCTAACAATGTCTTCTAATAAAATATAATATAATTTCGATTCCTCAATTCGGATATCTTATAGTGAGAATAGTGTATCGTTAAACATACATATCTATGAATAATCGTTCACGCGTTTTCATTCGGTCCGTTTACCGGTCGTGCTTATGTTGTGCAATTGTTAGAAAAAGACAGTGAAATAAATTGAGAGTTCATTGACCCTGCCAGGACATCAGCTGTTGATGCTCTGATCGGTTGGTTCTACCCGGTGACACAAATATTTTTTATCGAAGCTAGTTTTTCCATAAATCAATGAGTAAGTGTTATTTAAGTTACTTCTGTATTTTTAAAATTAAACGTACGTAGCAATAGATTTATTTCACTTCAATGAGGTACTGCATTAGATATTCTATTCCAGTTCGATCTCATTTCATAGGCAAGGTACTCATTCGTTTTGAAACGTGAATTTATTCGTTTGCTTCATTAGTATAGTTGACAAAATTAATTTTCGTGAATTTATTCTTTT